CTACGAAAAATGCCCATCCGACCTACAAAAAGTGCCCATCTGACCTACAAAATTGAGTGGCCGTCCGACAGCTACAATTAATTATTTCTACCCTTCTGCGCATGCATGACAAAAGCTGCTGAATAGGTCGGATGGGCAAGAAGATATACCCATCCGACCTACAGCTGTCGTATAGGTCAGATGTTGCAGTAGGTCGGATAGGCAGTATAGCAGATGGGCAATAAGACGGATGGGGCAGTATAGAGCGGATCAACATTATACCCTTGTAAACCGACCGTCCGTTGAGAATCCGAGCTGAATTATGAATGATAATCGACTTCGACATAGAGGCGTAAACAGAGGCGTATACAGTGGGAAGACAATTGGGGCTCAGCCCGCCCAGGAATCAGTGAAATTTATGGTTTTCACTTTTCCGGGTGTTTTAGACCCCAATAGGTGCTTTTGAAGGGGCCAGAACCCGGCCCCCCTTCTAATTAGTAAAAAATACCCCCTCCTCAGGGGCGGATCCAGCTTTTTAAAAAGGGTGGGGCAAAGTCTGAATAATATTGGGTTTAGTACCGTCTAAATAAAATGATATTTTTCAATTGAAATCAAACTTTTTAACAAAGATGAAAGATGTGACTGAAATTGAACTTGTTTTATTTAATTTTGGAAGGCGCACAGACGCACGGAAAAAATGACATATAACCCAAATTTTGATTTTGGGGCTATTTACATCTATAGCCTTGCAGGAGCGTATTGACATTCATGGGGATTAAGGGGTGGTGGGGATGTATAGGGGTCTTGGTGGATTTGGGAGCTAAGCAGATAATGATATAAAAATTACCTCAACATGTAATGTGGGTTTAGGCGATAGGAATAGGAATTAGCGATCGGTAGACGTTAAACAATGTTTGTATCGTCTAATGTTCATTTGAAAAATAAGTCCATTTAAATATATGCAGAAGTAGCCGGGCTACTAGAGGACTTTACAGGCAGTGATATATTGATACACGACGTTGCATACATATTCAATTGGCTTTAACTACTACTATAAATTATAGTCTATCATTGGTACTTCAGTCAAAAAAAGAACTGGGACTGCAATGCATGTGTAATATGCATATAAACTGTAGAACAGGAAGACGACAAGATAGCAATGCTAATTGTGTTTTTTTTTGTTTTTGTAAAGCAAAAAGTACAGTAAGTAAGTTAAACGCTTATTAACTAAAATGGGATAGCTATCACTGCACAATTGCTGTTTCTCATGTTCATTGGAGTATTTAAAGTCAAACTTCGGTCTTGTTAAGTTATTAAAGTCGTCTTACTATTCCAGAGTTTTCTTGTTTTCTTGTAAGTGAAAAATAAAGAGCGCAACATATAAAGCCAAATATATATTTTAAGTATAAAATTAGTAATCTCTCTTTGTTAGTCTGTTGTTTGTTTGTATTTCCGGTCATACAGAGGCGGATACAGGGGGGCGGGGGACATGCGCCCCCCCCTGAATTTGGAATTTTTTGTTCCTATTTTCAGAATTTCAGAATAGAATGCTTAAGGGAAAGAAACCCTAGTGCAAAACAGGAAAAATATCTGTCTGAATAAACTATAATGTGTGAAAAGTTAAAAATCTAGTTTTTTAGTCTTTAGTCATTAATTTTGACTCTTTGAGTCTTTTCAGTCAAAAAAAATTTCGCATGTGGCGTGATTTTTTGTTCCTATAATTATAAATTTTTTTGTTCCTAAAAAATCTTGCCCCCCCCCCTCACTTAAATCCTGTATCCGCCCCTGCGGTCATACCTGAGGATCAGGAGCCTTTTGACCGATTTGCTTCAATTTTAATTGGAGATCTGGGTAGAAAACCACGGGAACTTTACTGAAAAGCTTTAGTTTAAAAATTCTAAGTTGAGTTGGTTGAAAAGTTAGTTTCTAGACAAACCCAACTTCCCGAGGTATCTAATTTATATAGTTGTAATCTCAGTGTTGTCTGTTCGTATGTCCGATCATAACTCATGAATCCTCGATTGATTTGCCTTAGATTTTAAGTGAGGCACTCGGGAGAACCACGGGAATGTTCTCAGCTTTGTTTGGAGATTCTAAGGTGAGTAGAACAAATTTATAGAGGAAAATAGCAAAAATTGTAATTTACGACCAAGCGCTGGTAAACGGTGGGAGTAACTTTGAGTACCCTGGGCAACGCTGGGTTCTCAAGCTAGTCATCTATATATATATATAAAGTAAAGAGGAAATTAGTTCCAAAACTAACACTTGGCCCATTTCTAACACTGAGTGTTAGAAATGGGCCAAATCTGCAAAGTTATCCTTTTCAAGCGTATATATCTTTAAATCCAAGCCGAGTTAACCAAACTACACCATACATTTATTTAAAATGGCTAAAACTATAAATTATTAAGATAGGAAATGTCCACTTTAAATAAATAATAAGGTATGAGAATTAGTTTTTGATAATATTGGTTTTCATTTTCGAACATAACCCTATTTAGAAGCATTTATCGCATTTTAGCTCATTTCGCGTTTTTGGAACATATCCTGGTTTTGACTTTGAGACAATTTTACCCGATTTCAAGCATTTACGCACTTACGTAACAAAACAAGATTTTTGATAAGGTGAAATATAAGCAAAATGGAAAACAAAAAGTATAGTGTTCTTTTATAATTTGAAAATCATAATAGCATCGAGATATAAAAATTTAATATTATTTTGTTCTTTCAATATAGATTTAACTTGAAATCCGGAAAATTGTTGCTTTATAATTCGGGAAATTAAATCAATATTATTCTCTTATTTAACAAATAAAATAGGGAAATACAGATTATAGAAATAATTTATCAGTTAATTTAGCCTTCACAAGATAATTTTTACTTTCAGTGATTTATTTTGTAAGTTATGAAAGTTAGTTTTGTTCTAAATTAAGGATTATACTTAAAAACGGGAAAGTGTGTGTTTTAGCCGCAAACTCAGATTTTCTAATACCTGTATCTTTGAAACCCAATGTCGTAGACCTTAGATATATAAAAAATTTATGAATTCTGTTAGATTAAATAATCTAACTTTGAAATACCAAAGGTTTTTACCATCAGGTTGCAATGATATAAGGTTTAGAAAAGTTGAGTTTGTGGCAAAGACTCAATTCCTTTATACAAAAAAATTTTCGCTTATTATTCTTAACTGCAAAGAAAATTATATTTATTATATAAAAGTTATTTATGATCAAATCAAGAAAGTTTATAATGTATAAGATGAAAATATAAATAACCGTCTAAATCGATCACAGTTTTAAGTCAAGAACACACTAAATAAATAATATTAAATTACATTAATGCATCGTAAATAATATATGTACACTATAATCAGAATTTGAAATATTTACTGAATGTAAAATAAACAGAATAGCAAAAGAATTAATAAAAATAATAATATATATATTATATATAAATTAATGTAGATTTATAAAAAAAATATTTACAGAGCAAAATGTTTCAGTGAACCTGAAAGATGTTTTAGGTAATATTTTTCTGTTCTTTTAAGAATAGCAGGATATCCTCTTAGATTTATCAGGATATATATTTGAGTATACTCGCTGAAGATTTGGATAATGGATATCCTCCATAATCAATGGATACTCTACTAGAAGATTTTGATATCCTTCTATGGTATATATGGATATCCTCTTAAAAGGTATGGATATCCTGCTAAAAAATATGTATATCTTTAATAGTTCTCCTCAAATATATTTAATTTAAATGTTTGTTATCATTATTGAAATTAGGTGGAAAAAATAATCAAAACAGCCCAGAGATATTTTCCACCTAATTGCTTCATACTTGTTCTGTTAAAAATAATGATCAATTTGTAATTGTAAACTCGTTCTGTAAAAACAGATACATGTATAGAGCAATAAACTTTATCTATTAATCATTTGGAAGATATAGATATCCGCCTGGAGTATATGGATAATGGATATCCGCCTGGAGTATATGGATAATGGATATTCTCCTGGAGTATATGGATAATGGATATTCTCCTGGAGTATATGGATAATGGATATTATCCTGGAGTATATGGATAATGGATATGGAGTATATGGATAATGGATATCCTCCTAGAGTATATAGATAATGGATATCCTCCTGGAGTATATGGATAATGGATATTATCCTGGAGTATATGGATAATGGATATTCTCCTGGAGTATATGTATAATGGATATTATCCTGGAGTATATGGATAATGGATATTCTCCTGGAGTATATGGATAATGGATATTCTCCTGGAAGATATGTGTATCCTTCTATGAAGACATTTATAGAATATCATTCTACCAGAAGATATGTATATTTTCTAGGATATAAACATAGCCTCTTAGAATTCTCACAGATGATATGGATATCCAAAACGATTTTTTCCAGAAATTATAAATATCTACTTAGAAGATATGATGCCTCGTAGAAAATATGGATATCCTCTTAGAAGATATGAATATCCTGAAGAAGGTTAAGGCTCCTAGCTCTTCTAAGTATCTGGATAAAAGTATCAAGTTCACTTTTCTCTACATCCCAGTGGAGTAGTTCTCCAATAGTTCGCAGTTTAGGCCGGGATGATATCAACCTAATAGATAAACAAAACTACTAACACAATTTATAAAAATAATAAAAATCAAGTGTTTTTTTCATTAAAATTTGTGAATTTTCGAAACTGCGACCCAGCTTAATGTGCATATGTATTGTATACTATGTTTAGAATAGGTTATGTTAAGATTAATATGATAGTTTCGGTAAGGTTGTTATATGTTAGTTCTAAAATGAAATTATCCAATTTTACAAAACCTAGTTGTGAAAATGCTTATGTGAAAGTACATCTATACAACTTCTTTATATACGACATTTTATTTAAATAATTTACCTGAGGGCAGATATTAGAGTAAGGGCTCCGTCTCTAAGGATGAATTCTTGAAGATGTGAAAGGTTATTGACCAACAATATATCATCCAGAAGGAAATCTAAATATTGATCCAATAGAATAGCACCTAGTAGGAAATTTGATAAGTAATTCTTAAAGATGTGAGAGGTCATTGACCAACAGAATATTATCCAGTAGGAAATCTAAATATTAATTCTTGAAGGTGTGAGTGGTCATTGACCAACCAAATATAATCATCCAGTAGAAAGTTTAAATTATAGCAATTCTCTTAGGCGAGAGGTCATTGACTAACAGAATAGCATCCAGTAGGAAATTTTAATATTAATTCTTGAAGATGTGAAAGGTCATTGACCAAATAGATGTTATCCAGAAGGAAATCTAAATATTAATTCTTGAAGATGGAAGAGGTCATTGACCAACAGAATAGCATCCAGTAGGAAATCTAAATTTTAATTCTTGAAGATGTGAGAGGTCATAGACCAACAGAATATCATCCAGTAGGAAATCTAAATATAGCAATTCTCTCATGCGTGAGAGGATATTGACTAACAAAATAGCATCCAGTAAGAAAATTGAATGTTAATTCTTGAACGTGTGAGAGGTCATTGACCAACAGAATAGCATCCAGTAGGAAATCTAAATAGAAATTCTCTCAGGCGTGAGAGGTCATTGACCAACAGAATACCATCCAGTAGGAAATCTTAATATCCATTCTTGAAGGTGTGAGATGTCATTGACCAATAGGCGAAATCATCCAGTAAGAGATCTTAATATTCATTCTTGAAGGTGTGAGAGGACATTGACCAACAGACGATATCATCCAGTAGGAAATCTAAATATCCATTCTTGAAGGTGTGAGAGGTCATTGACTAACCAAATATCATCCATTAGGAAATCTTAATATCCATTCTTGAAAAAGAAGACGTCATTGACTAGCAGAATAATAGGAAATTTTAATAATGTATCAACTTCAATTTTAACGGAAATGACATGTTCAAAAAGAAAACATAAACATAGGTGCAGTAATAGTATTACATGCAGTTGTAAGATCACTCAACTAAAACAAATAATATTTTTTTGGAAAAATTTTTCTTATTCCAACTTTACAGGTGAGTCTCTAGTTAAGTAAGAAATATCAAACTTAAGTTTGACCCACGTAAATTAAACTTCAGACACTCACTAATTTAGGAATTCTCTCAATCAACATGATATTTAAGTTTAACTCTTTCAATGGATGGAAAAATGCTAATTAAGAAATCAGATGACGGAGGTTAGATAGGCTAGCGACACGCTTCACCTTAAAGAGACTGTGTGGACGTAATATTTGGTAACATACATTCATACAGTGTCATGTCTGATTCACAACGAAGCCATTTATAGCTTAAACTTATTAACAATGTACAAGTGTTATATTTTAATATTTGCCTTTTATCACTTTTACAGAGAAACCACAATTTAGAGTAATTAAGTTTAGAGAGAAAAATAAGGATATATATTTTATTCAAGATCGGAGAAAGGTTTTAAGAATAACGTTCTGAATCTGTAAATATGTCTTCGTTCCTTTAAATAAACAAGTTTTTTTTCAAACAGAAATGTGTATTTTGAAATAAAATGTGTTTTTTTTAAACTGAAAAAAATCTTTCCTTTCCATTTATAAAATGAATGAGTATGGTGTCTCCAGAATTAGCAAAATAAAAGAAATGATTGACACAAGCTCTAATAGTTCGAGTACTATATTCGTTATTTCAAACTATGAATTCTGCTAGGTTAAATAGTTTAAATATTAAAGGTTTGCACCATCAGGTTGCAAAAATAAAGGATTTGGAAAATCTGAGCTTGTATCAAAAACTTAGTTCTTTCTAAGATAATTTTAATGTTATTTGTTAAAAACATATTTCAAAGTATGCAGGTTAAGAAATATCTACTTGAATGCATATTGCACAAGTTTAAATTAAAGAGAAATTAAACTGTCGGAGTAAAGCAAAAATACTATCTTTTTACACACTGAAGTTCAATTTGTAATTAAATACTTATGTATTTGCTTCAGTTAACATGTGACACTTAAGACTGGAATTTAGCTTTTTTCGTAACACACTTTACAGTTTTTATGTTTTTATTTTTCTTCACAATTCCTGTTCTACGAAGGATTATCTGGCTCCATAAGCTTCAATAAAAGATTCATGTGAAAATATTTTTGTTTTCGAGTTTTAGAAATATTACAAAAACAGAGTTCAGACTTTTCTGTTTATTTTTCATTTAAACGCGTGATTTATAAAATAGGAATCTAGTAAAATAAACATAAATCTTTTTTAACAAAAAGATAAAATCAAAGCAAAAGAAAATAATTTGAATTTTGGACAGCAACAAGTTTAGATATATAAATACTGTAAAAACAAGTTTAGATATATAAATACTGTAAAAACAAGTTTAGATATATAAATACTGTAAAAACAAAAAAAAATTCCATTTCGTTCTTTAAAGCTGTATTTTTTGGTGTGCACCAATTTTCGTTGAATCCAGATAATCTTAAAATATTCTAGTGATTTAAAAAATAAGTTTTCATAATTGTTAGATAACGCATTTAATTATTGATAAGCAAGTAGAAAAGAAGGTCACAAAGCCGTACCAATACTAAATCGATATGAAATCGTCAATTCGCAACCGTATGGACGATTTTAAAGTTTTTTTGATTGAAATATTTTTATTTAGTGTAAACGTAGCAACCCCCCTTGTGGGCGGTTGGCTTTTTTCCAATATTGACCCCTTAACGTACATTGTACATTTCAAAACTACAATGCACTTGTTTCAAGCTTCTGTTTAACCAGTGTAATTGGCAAAATGCTGATAGATTTTTGTGTGAAACATGGATGAGAGATGTTTCATTTCAGTGAACACAAAATAAACAATTATAAACGTTTCTGTGGATAAGTAAAAGGGTTAATCGGACAATTCACTTAACAAATGAAAATTCACTTGAAAATACTCCAACAGTCCCTTTAAAGGTATATCTAATGTTTACATGTTTATAATGAAGCTTCCACAACTTGAGAATTCTGAATAAGAACTAATTATAAACTTTAACAAATTTAACTTCACAAAGACAAATTTAAAACAAGAACTCTCACAAACTGCAGGACCCTCAGGACTATGTAACTGCTTTAAATAGGCCATACTCCCTTAGGGCATTTTATCTTTCCCTCAGGAGACAAGACCTCGCATATCTTTAAATCTTATTTGTTGATGCTACAGGTTTCCTCACACAGGATAAGACTGTAAAGACGACCCAAAAACCTCAAAATATGACGATTTTAAGCTTGATTTTTGTTTCTGCATTCAATTGAATATTTTGATGGTTTTCTAAATGTTTAAGCACGAACCAAGCCAGTTTTGGCCAGCAAGAAACCCTAAGTGCAAAAAAACGGACTGAACCAAGTCTGAACAATCTTCTCAGAAGTCTCATCCTTTGTGGGTAACCCTGCATATAAACCGACCTAGAAAATCGGAGTTTCTTCAAGTCAGAAATCCAGTTTTGAGATCAGAATTAATACAAGTGTACCCTGACCATTAAGTGCATTGTTTTTATCTTGATTTTGAACCTAACTTTGGAACCCATCCTTGCCTGGAGATCTAAAACAAGCTAAGAACAAGCTAAAAACGTAAGGTCAAGCAGTTCAAGAGTTATGATCAAACATACAAACTTTAATATTTATCCCTTATCAACAAAATCTTGATTAGTTTTCGCTTCTCTGGTAGTTAAAGGAAATTGAACATTTTGTCTAAAAATTTTGTTTTGGAAAAAGTGATTCTTGAATGATTGTAAGTAAATGTTGATTTTGATTTTAGATTTCAGTTTAGTTTTCCCAAATTAAATTGGGTAAAATCTTATCTTAAGTTCAGTTTAGTTTTCCCAAATTAAGTTGGGTAAAATCTTATCTTAAGTTTAGTTTATTTTTCCCAAATTAAGTTGGGTAAAATCTTATCTTAAGTTTAGTTTAGTTTTCCCAAATTAAGTCGGGTAAAATCTTTTCTTGGATTCAGTTTAATCGCGGCTCAAACTCTACTCTCTTCTTTGAAACGAAGATAAAGCATTACGTAAATCTGTCAATTAGTCGGCCCACGAACACCAGAGTTTTTCTCCATTTTCAATTCTTTTCATATTTTTCAATTTACTTTGAACTATTGTTGTTTTTTTATTTCTAAATGGAAAATTAGAAAAGTGCATCCTGTAAAAACTTGATATTTGAGTTAGTTCAACCATATTATTATTAATATGCTCCCTCAATGCCTTGAAGAATATAAAGGGACTGTCCATGACAAAAAATAATTTCTTAAGAGGTTATTTAAGATTTTTAATTACAAAGAAAACTAATAAAAACTGGAATGAGTTTTCCTTTTTTAAAGTTGAATTGATATGAAAGTCATTATTTTTGATTATTCAGTGTTATGATTGAAAACATATAAGATTGAAATCATACTTGCAATTTACTTAAGTTTAACGGGAGTTCTAACTTCTAGCAAAAAATTCAAGAAGAAGTAAAATGGGTCAAACGTAAAGAACTGATCGGAACTTCGGAAGGTACGTTCTAATTATTTCTCCCGTTAAGACTGTCTGTAGCTGACATATTTACTTGGCAAAAAAAAAACACAAGTAGAACGAATTTGTCTAAAATTATAAAATTTTACAAGAAACTGCTCAACTTTGCACTAAACAAACAAAAGAAAATTTATTTTTGTACAATAATACAATACACATAACAGCTATAAAAACAACAGTGAAATGGCATAATTGTAAATTGCGTAGGTTTAAATTCTAATCCAATATGGCGTAGGTTTAAATTATAATCCAATATGGCGTAGGTTTAAATTATAATCCAATATGGCGGAGATATAAATTATAATCCAATATGGTGGAGGTTTAAATTATAATCCAATATGGTGGAGGTATAAATTATAATCCAATATGGTGGAGGTTTAAATTATAATCCAATATGGCGGAGATATAAATTATAATCCAATATCGCGGAGGTATACATTATAATCCAATATGGCGGAGATATAAATTATAATCCAATATGGCGGAGGTATAAATTATAATCCAATATGGCGGAAGTATAAAATTATAATCCAATATGGCGGACAAGTGTTACCTGAGAAGAAGTATCCAGCTGAATGAAGAGAAATATTAATAGATTCTAGATCAGCTGCTCCACCAAGTAAATATCGGAATACATCCTTACCAAACTCTTCGATATACACGTTGTTGAACCTTAACACAATAAACTAAGTATTTTACAGGGTTACCCACAAAGGAAGAGACTGGAAAGAAGACCTGAATGCAGTCTTTTAATGGCTTATTAAATGATTTGAATAAAAGAAAAACAAATTTACAGTTGGAATTCTAAATATAAAGAAATAGCAAGTATGAATTCAGTACAGTCGTCTCTGAAGTCTCATTCTTTGTGG